GACGAGCGCACTTTCTGCGGGTTCGGGCGGGCGCGGAGGTGTGCTGGCTGGTTCCTCACACTTGGTACGGCGCTAGACGTACAGCCCCCCACAACTTTTGTTTCTTTGTCTTGGAAGGTCGCCACGAAAGGCCCGCCTTGACTTTTCCGGAAATTTTTTTTGTAGAGGAGTTCGCATTATAGTCCACCACTCGCCTCACCCTGTGCCGTTTGCGCCGGCCGGTGAGCCGACTCACCGGTTGCTCAGATGAGTCCTTTCCCTGATCTTCTTCGCCAAGCTTGTCGTAGGGAAAATTGTGTGCCGTGCTCGAAGCCTCCGATAATCGCCAGCCGAGCCCGAGTTGCCACCTTATGCGAACGCCTCCGCCTAGACGGAGGGCGCGTGCAGTATAAATCTCGCCACAGTAGCGCTGCCGATTGTGCAGTCCATTTTATTTTTTTTGCTGGGGGTTGGGCTCTTCCACCGCTTCTCTTGCGTACAGAAAAGAGGTGGCGCCCCTGTTCTCTTGCCTGCCACTTGAGAAGAGGTTCCTGCAGAGAGGAACGTCGACGCGCCAGCGCCCAAACTGCCGAACCCGTGCCCGAATTCGGGCGGGAACAATTCCCAGACCCAGTGGCGCCTTTAAGCACCAAGCTGGACCCTAACTCTCGCGCTTCGCGGCCGGGAGCCATCTAAATATGTATGAGCTGCAATCCTGGCGCATGCAGCCACCAGAAGAGAGATTAGCGCTGGGGTACGCATCAAAAACGCTATATGTGATTTCTGGAAAAAAATTGCGGGGCAAAACTTCAGCAACGTTTCTCCCTGGATACCGCACTCGCTATAAATGTGCCGCACTACAACACGAAGGCCATGAAAAAAGAACCAACAAAAGCGGGCCGACTGCGGGCGAAAATAGGTTTGAAGCACGTTCAAAACGCTACGCCGCTGGTCTCGGGGCCTGAATGGAAGTCACAACCTTATGGCATTGCAAAGAGTCACACTATTCGTTGCTGCATGGATTTGTCATTTGTGATGCATCAAATCTTCAAAACAGGCAAACGCAAAAGGAACGCGCTTATTCATCTTCTTGGTCTTGCTCTGCAATTCCGGTACATATTTCAATGTTATTAGGGATCCGCACCACAGGGCATGCAACAGCGATCCGTGTAGGGCTTGAGAATGCTATAGTTGCGAAATGCGGCGCCAGCAGGCTAAAGCAGCGAAGGACACGCAGCTGGAGAAGGCAAAAGCGGCCAAGGTGAGAGCGGAAAAACGACGCATAGCGGTGGAAAACCAACAAGCCGGCCGTGCTTCAGCGGAGGTTCTACAAGAAAATACCGCGAGCAGTGCGACCGCGCCTTCCACCAAGCCTTTGAGTGATGCCGGCGGCGGAGTTGCACACACTAAGCGAGGCAGCGCAAACGGTCTTTCCGTGTCGCCGATCGACGCTAAGCGCATTACGACGGGCGCCGGCACCTCTTCCTCCGTGAGTACCTCTCGAAGCGGTGAGAATGCAGAAAGCAAAGCACCTCCGCAGCAGCTGAAACCGCAATCCAGCTCCAGCCAACAACCGAAGCAGTTGCCATCCGTAAACAGCTCGCAGCCAGGCGGGAACTCTGCTACGGCTGAGGCGCTTGAGACGAAGACTAACGATGTCTTCAGGCGTTTGAGGCGGAAGGCTGAGGCCAGTTTGGACATTGCAGAACACGTCGCAAAGCAGCTTGAGCAGGTCGCGACAGACGCGGCGGAGTGCGCTTCCCTGGGCCACGCCACCCAGTCTTTACTGAGGGGCATTCAAAAGTACACCATGTGGCGCAACAACTATGTGAAAGAGCTGCACAACAAGCAGATGGCGAAAAACAAGAACTACGGACGACCTGGAATGGAGCAGCAAACGAAAGGCACGAAAACGGCTTCGAACAAGCGCCCCGCCGTTGACGACGACGACGACGTTGCGCGACCACCGTCAAAGAAGACAAAGGAGGAGATCGAGAGCAAGAAAATGCAAAAGGACTGCAGAAATTGCTTCGACGGAAAGATGAAGGAGGAACCTAGCTCAAGATTCGACGTGGCCCTGGTCGCAGTCAAAGCGAAGAGGGAAAAGAACAAACTTCTCAAAGTGCAGGAAGAAGACCGCAAACGGAAGGACAAAGCCGCTGGCGCACCAATAGGGCCAGGAGCAGCTGTTGGCGCTGCACCAGCTACGACGAGACACTCCGCTGCTAAACAGGATGCTTCCCAACCGACGAAGAGAAAACTAACCAACGATGCGCGCGCAGAGATGAAGCGGCTGGAGGGGGAGCAAGAGAAAAGGGTGGAACGGAAATACGACGAGCGGATGAAGAGCGGCCGCGCTTCCGAGAAAGTCGAAGTACGGGTAGACGCCGACGGCGAGGAGGACGAAGAGGACGATCTTCTGGCCGAGAATCCGCACTGCCACAGAACAAGGAGACGCTCGAACGATAAACGATGACGAAAGTGCATGCGTTATTAGAGAGCGCAAACACAACGGCAGCATCAACCAGCGCGGAACTTTGCGGAATGAAAAGCAGCCACACGAAAAGCAAGCAAAAGTGACATCTTCGCCGCGGAGTTGCTTGCTCGAGTACAAGCAAGCTATGTGTATACTGTGTCAGTGTACGAGTCCTTGCGTGCTTTTTTACTGGCGTCTTCTGGTGAGAGCGGCCTCAATTATCAACGCCACAAAACCCCTAATATACACTCACCATTGAAAAAAGAACGTCCGCGGTAGCGCTCGATGTCGCAGGCAATCCGGCTGCGGATAAAGATAGAACGTAACCACGCTACCGAATAGCTTTTTTCAAGAAAGACAGAAAGAGATGAAGACTCGGGAAGTTTTCTTCATATAAAAGTGACAAGCAAGTAGACCGTCGAGTTAGTGCTGGGTAGTTCTCGTGTCCTGTGCGTTTGTGTTCGAATGCAAATGCGCCTTGTGCAACTTGTCATGAGCGACAAAAGAGAGAAAAAGAGGCAACAGAGTTGAACTCGAAATCGAAGCAATGTTGAGGCATGAGACATTTATCACCAAAGTCGTATCGTCTCATTGCGGAGCGTGGTGCTACATACTGATGTTTTAGCTTCCTGAGTGCAAATGCTGATACCAGGGATAGTGGCGACGAGCATGAACAGTGGATTGCAAATTCGCTACGATTTTTGATCTTTTTTGGAGCTCCTCGGCTACCCGACGTCGTACTACCGAATTCGAAGCACTCATGCTGGTGCGACTCGATAGGCGAAAATAATCTAAAAAACCGCATATCGGAATCGGTAAACAAACTACTTCCTGTGTTGGCGTTTGTCCTGATCTTGATGAAAAGCCACGAGATCTATGGGCGAGATTTCGGCATAGGAACCTACACGCAATCCCAGAGAAATATTACCGTGAGGAGAGCAGAAAGTGCGCGACTTTTTAACACGTTAGCGCACCCGAAGCTCTTGCTCTTTTTTATTCTTTGGACAATTTTGGCCCGGCATCGATGCCCCCTGAAGCGAACCAAGAGAAGTTGCCATCTCACCAAAGGCTGGCGGCTACCTGCCAAAACTCCCAAAAGGCAAGTTCAAGCGCTGTCGCCTCCGAGTTCGGGCGCGCCCGCTCGGACGCCACAGCCGTCGTCTCCGGGGAGTGCGCCCGGGCCTCGAAGCTGGACATGGGCAGCCCGCTCCGGTTCCGATCACACGAATGTCGTGTCGATTGAGTCCGAATCTCAAAGCTGCCCTTGTGCGTGCGAGCACCTCGCGCGGGGGCGGGCCACGCAGTTGAATTCTTCGGCGATGATGCACGGGTCTCAAAACGGGAAATGAGCAGTTCGCCCCGGTTCGGGCGCCGCGGTGGTTGTCTCCGAGGATTGGCGCCGGGTCTTGAAACCGGGACGAGTAGCTCGTGCCGGTTGGAGCGCCACGGGGATTGTTTCCTGGGATTGACCCCGGAGGTCACAGGTAGGGCTGAGCAGCTCGTGCCGGTTCGAGCGCCGCCGGGCTTGTCTCCGAGAATGAAGCTTAGTCTCGAAGCACCCCGCGTCGCATCGCACTTCACGGTTGACTCGGACGGGGAGTGACTCCGGGTGTCACTCCTGGGCCTTCTTGGCGCGAATTGAAAGCAAACACATATTATTCCTTGATGTGGAAAAGTCCGCAGCGTGTGAAAGTTGGATAGCCCTCGGGGACGTGTAACGATAAAGCCTGTCGTTGAGGTTGCGTCGTCACTCACGTGGCCGTGGAACCGTCCTGTTGCACACATTTCCAGCTGTAGTATGCTGATCACCCTAGCATGCTGCTCCGCTTTACCAAGCTCAAAAAGCCCACTTTCCCAGCTCAAGTGCGCGGGCATTGGCCTTTGGGTGGGAGTACTTTTGATCCTTCTTTCCCTGGAGCAAAAAAACGGCAGGAGCGCCAGACGATAGGTCTTGAAAAAGCCGCATCTTCCCAGCCCCGAAACGCGGGGTCGTGGCCTTTGGTCGGGGGTACTTTTGACCTTGCTTGCCCAAGCCCAAAAACGGCAGGAGCGCCGGGCGAAGGGTCTTGAAAGAGTCCTACTCTCACACCTGAGGAGCGCGGTTCTTGGTCTTGCCATTTCGTCGGGGGTACTTTCGCCCAGGCAAAAAGGGGCAGGAGTACGGAACAAGGGATTTTGAAAAAATCCGACTGCCCCATTCAAGGCACGGCTCTTGGACTTTGGTCGAGGCTATTTTTGACCCTACTTTCCCCGGGGCAAAAACGACAAGAAGTATTCTTCGTCTGGATTCAACAAAAACTACCAAAGTAGGACTGACTTTGCGCATCTTCCAGGACTCGAGTCGTTGCTTTAGCTGCTGAGCACTTTAGCTTTAGCTACTTACCACAAAGTATGCGATTTTTTACAACGTTAGGGTATCCGGAACTCTAGTTTTTTGCTACTTAGGTAATTTCGGCCCGGTTGTGCCTCCTGCTGAAGCGTGGCCCTGGGTCCGATTCCCAGGCTCGATCCCCGGTGATGATCCTGGTCCTGGGACCCGGGTTCGATTCCCGGTCGGTCCGACCTCCTGGTTCGATTCCCGGTGTTGCTTCAAAAGCTTTCGGGTTCGACTCCCGGAATGACAAGCGTGGGGCTCGATCCCACGCGAGCACTCGCATGACAAGCGTGGGGCTCGACCCCACGCGGGCTCCCAGAATGACGGGCGTGGGGTTCGCACCCCGAACGACCTTCTCGATTCGCGCAGACGCGCGAAAATGGAAAAGGGACTGCGAGTAGCAAGGCACGATATGGCACCTTGAGCCAATGGCTACGGTGCACGCGTTCGACGATCGTCACTGGGGACCACTAGTCTCAATTAGATTTGCGGCGCCGATACGGATACAAAAGAGCTAGCAGCACCCTAAGGGCTTCCCAGGCGGTCCCCCACCCCAGTACTGGCCGGGCCCTGCAACGGTTAACTTTGCGGGTCGGACGAGGTCTGGTGTATTCGTTGCCGTATGGCCGTAAGCGGTTGCTTACCCTCATCCTGATCAGGTGCCTCCACGTGCCGGAGCTGAACGACACACAAAAGAGCTAGCAGCACCCTAAGGGTTTCCCAGGCGGGCCCCCACCCCAGTACCTACTGGCCGGGCCCTGCAACGTTTAACTTCGGAGTTCGGATGAGATCCGGCGCATTCGTTGCGGTATGGCCGCTAGCAACTACAGAGACGCAGCCTCCTCGGCTCTAGGTGACTAGTCACCTCATCCGTTTCCGGATGTGTTGTCTGCCGAAGCTCCGCTCGAACTGCTTGCCGTTCGGCTAGCAGGACTCGAGTCGTCGCTTTCGGCTTTTTGCCAATGCGGCTCGTAGCCAATCACTAGATTTGCTCTAGCTTTAGCTACTTACCACAAAGTATGCGATTTTTTACAACGTTAGAGTATCCGGAACTCTAGTTTTTTGCTACTTAGGTAATTTTGACCAGGTTGCGCCTCCGGCTGAAGCCAGGTCCTGGGTCCGATTCCCAGGCTCGATTCCCGGTCCTGGTCCTGGTCCTGGTCCTGGGACCCGGGTTCGATTCCCGGTCGGTCCGACCTCCTGGTTCGATTCCTGGCGTTGCTTCAAAAGCTCTCGGGTTCGACTCCCCGGAATGTTCGGCCTGGGTCCGATTCCCAGGCTCGATTCCCGGTCCTGGTCCTGGTCCTGGGACCCGGGTTCCA